GTTCAAGCTGCAGGCAAAGGCATGCTACAAGGCAATGCACACTTGTTTTTACATCGTAAAAACCCATGTCTAGTTATTATTGTAGCAATAAGTTGTGAGTGTGTTGCAGAGTCTCTGTTCAGAGCAGGGCTCTTGTTTTGTTTTGATTCAGCCCAAGGTCTTACACTGAGGCCTGTGTGCTGTACTGTGAACCTGAATGGAGTCAGAAGATTGAAAATAAAGTTTTAAGAAGAAATCCAGCTGATTCCTGTTTATTCGGACATACCATTTTGAACAACGCATGTTTTTCCACCAGAATTAAAAGTCAGTAACATCTATTGCTATTATCTTACAATAAATCCATTTGTTCAGAGAAATTCCCTTTACTTCCCCTCCAAGATCTATCAAAAACTTAACCAAAATACCTTCCTCTGAACTGATGTTCAAGCTCCTTCAGTGCACAGTAACTCAATTTTAACAAAATTAGTAAAACAAGTCAACACAAAACCACTGATTTTGAACCTTGTTTATTGGAAACAATGGAGGAATTGTGTGATTTTACACAGGCTGGTTTATCATGTCCTGAGGAACAGCAAAAAAGGAAAAAAATTAATACATGTGAACTGGTTAAAATGTAATTTTACATATCATTTGTCAGATTTAGACCATGATTCATAGTTTGATGTAAAATAAGTCCGGTGTACTCACACTGACAGGCGTAAGCCACCTCCAGGTACTTAAAAGTTCCCTCACAGGGGTCCCCAAACACAGCGTTTGATGCATCTAGAACACAATTGTTTTGCCCCTGGCAGCTGTGGAGAAACCAGTGAAGACAGATAAATTGTCTAGAATTTGATCTTCCAGATTCGAAAGGCTGTCTTTGTTAAAAGTAACATCGTGGTTCTCTTTGCATCTATTACTTGTCATCAACTTTGCTGTTGCTGGTGGGGCTTGAGCAGGCTGTGTTTTGGAGCTGAACATATGGACGCCCAGCGCTGCACGTGGTCTTGTCCCTGCGTCCATAATCAGCTCTGAAGATAGAGATTGTCAGTCCTTCGTCTGAGAACGAAAACAGAAAWACAGATGAGTGCCTTGTTTAAGATGTAAAAATATCTAAGTGGGAGAAAAATCAGATCTTACCACATTGCAGGTCTGCCTGAGAGTGCTCACATATTACAAGATGAACTGAAAACACAAAACAGGTTTTGTGATCAGATTTTTCCTCCATGTCTACATTTGCCACCCCACCAAAAAAAGGGGTCTGTATTTAAGCTCATCTTATACTGACTAGCTGGCGTGCAGGTGTAGATGGTCTGCAGGTACTTGGCAGTACCAAAGCATGGATCAGGTCCAAGGCGATTGGGGACCAATACACACACCTTTTTTCCATTGCATCTGCAAGAAATAAGAAAATACAGGACCTGGACTTAAACTGAGTCACCAATACACCAAACTTAATAACACCTTTATTTTAAAACTGAATAAACAAATAGTTTTTCTCCTAAACACAGGGGACTTCGCTTACCTCTGCCTGACTGTGTCAATGACGCCCTCCAAAGAGCAGCTGGTGTCGCTAGTTTGGCTTGAGGGTTTCCCCACGCTGCAGGTCCCACTGTCCAGACGTCCATACATTGAGAACAGAACTCTGATCACTCCAGATCCTATTACAGCACAGAAAAATAAAATCTGACAAGACATTTTGTTAAATTCAACCTGCAGTAATTAAAAATGTCATACCGCAGCTYAGACGTTGGGGCACAGCCTCTTCGCAAGTGGTAACAGTCTCTRTTGTTACAAAATAAAAGCATTGAAAAAACGATCAAAACGTATTAAACACACCTGCATAAAACATAATTACCTGCATGTACAAGCAGACAGCTTGCTGCCAGCAGCACTGAAAGAGAGGAAAAAAGTTTTCAAAAAATAAAAATAAAAAGTCACATTAGTACAAATGTACTTACAAAGAGCAGAGCTGAAGAACAGTGTGGTGGAAAACAACTTTTYCATGTCTGTTAAACAATGTGCAGAAATACGTGATCAGAAAAGTTCTTCACTGCAATGGTCTCTGAGTGATTTTGTTGCAATAAAACGAGAGTCAACATGCATATAACAATACAAGTTGAGTCTGGGGACACAGCCCCAGTAAAGCATCTTTTATACCTTTAGCAGAAACAAGTCCCTAAACTGGTTATTTCTGACATGCAAGGAGTGTTTCTTTAACCGAGCACCAAAAATTCCTAGTTTCAGATAAAACTTGTTCTGTGGTCTTTAAATAGAGGAAAACACTTTAGAATGTGGTTCTACTTGCCATTTCGTTGTCTCTTACTTCATGTTCACATTGCAATAAAAACAAACAAATAGTTCTGCAATCCAGTTGTGCAGAATGTGTGTGTGTGTGTGTGTGTGTGTGTGTGTGTGTGTGTGTGTGTAACACTTATTTTGAGATGCTCTACTGGAAGCTTACAACATCAGTTGAAATGATTCAGAATATGTCATGACCTTAAGCATACAATAAGTTAAACATGAAAGAAACAAGTAAAATACATTCAAAACTTAAATACATGGATGACCACTTCATTTTCCTTCACAACAGCATGGTTTAATTCTGGTGTTCAGTGAAACTGAGGAGGCAGGAGACACACGCTCAGTATTTATTCAGTTGGACCTGAGAACAATGAACTGATGAACTCAGGAGGGGAGGTTGGCACACATCCAGTCTGGCAGGAGTGAAAACGATTCCCAACAAGTTGAGTTGGAAGAGGCTAACGAACTAGAGAGAAGAGCAGCTAACTCAAAAGATTTAAAGTTTGTCTCAAACAGTTAGAGGATGGTAGCAACCAGATTTGTTTAATTAAATGAAATTAAAGCTTCATGGGGTAAAGCAGTGAGGTGCATGGATTCCTGTACAGATTGTAAGGGTGGACTAAAGAGGCCTCTCTAAAATCAAGTCAACTTTATTTATTTAGCACATGAAACAACAGTCATTAGCCGACGTGCTTCAAATATTGAATAAAAATGCAAGGTCAAGAATAAAATATGTTAAACCATAAAAACAAAACTATAGAGGAGGAAATGTCAGATGCAGATAAAGTACGCCCAAGTGAGAAGGTCAGAAAGGAAACCGATTTATTTGAAGAATTAAAAGAAAGAATGCTAACAAATGAGAAAACTCTGGGAAAACCACAAAGCAACAACACGGGCAGCCACGTCATGGAAAACACAACACATTCTGATGCAATAATCTGCTGAGGTGAAGATGGAAGGAGTTATAGGGTCAGGCTGATGGAGAAGGGGTTATCTTTGAAAGCAAAGTGGGCGTGTCACAAGAGTGGGCGTGTCAAAAGCATAAACTCTGTGGGCTACGAGGCCTACATGATGGTATCCTTAGATCCTGCTCGATCTCTTTACAGCCTGACCCCAACACTAAGGTTAACCTGGAGAAATGTGACCCAAGTAGGGGTCTCCAGAAAAAGTGGTGCCGTACAGCAACGCCCCTTTTGTTCTTGTCCGATGAGGTGGTGACGTACGGTTTCGCTCCTTTTTTGCTTGTCCAGTCAGGTGTCTCCCTTTAACAAAGTCCCTCAAATCAGGTGTGTCACTTTAGAATCGCCTTTCCTTGTGACACGCCCACTCGTCCGCACAGACCCCTACTTGGGCTGATGAGAGATGAGAGGCAGGTGGGCTGAGGGAGTGGCAACAGGTGTGAGTGGCTGACTGAGGGAGAAATGAGAAACTACATAGGAACACAAACTGGATACAAAAAGCTATGAATAATGTACAAAAATGGGCATATAAATTCTCAGTGGGGAAAACAAAAGCAATGATATTTACTTAAAAAAAGAATTACAGAACTAAAAGTGTTGAAAATGTATGGACAAGATAAAGAGTGGGTAAAGAGCGTACGATTTTTAGGAATATGGTTTGACAAAAGTAATTTGGAAAAGTAATATGGAACATTCACATCCAAAAACATGTTGATAAATGTAAGAGTCTTAAGTATGATGAGRTGTTTAGCAGGAGAAGAATGGTGAGCAGATAGAACAGCATTGAAAAAATATACACAGGAATGATACRATCAAATATAGATTATGGCAGCTTATTGAGCAAGAATCCAGAATTCAGGCGAGTGTCTCTCTTTCCTGGTGCTGACCCACGAGAGGAACTTCAGAGAAACAGGAGGAGATGTTGGAGACAAGTAAAACASAAAGGTGAGAGACCTTCAAACAGGGAAACCAGTCTCTGGAACCATAACAGATTGTGATCCAGCAAAGATCAGATGACTCAAACCCAGTGATGAGGGAGATGAGCTAAAGCTGTTAGCAATCAGCCAACACCCATCAGGAAGAGTGGTGTCTGACTGACAGACTGCCACAGAAACAGTGTATCAGAAATATTTGTCAGCTGATGTGTATTTCAGCAAGTTTTGTAACCAATACATATTTCTGTAGGACATGCTGTAACAAACATGAACTATTTTACATTATTTCTGTATCTGAACCAAATATTTCTTATTTTTAATGTCTTTGTTTTGATCTATATGCACCACAGAGCAAGCTTGAACTGAACACCAAAAATTGACAAAAGGGATCAGAACTTATTTTTGCCAAGAAGATAGGACATAACTAATCTGATCTAACTGTGGTAACAGAGCTGCGGTCAGGAAATCATCCATTTGAGAGTTTGAATCTTGCTTTTAGGGCCTTACCCATAGTTCAGTTTTGTTTTTGTACTTTCATATTTTAGAAAGTCTCATGTTATCTTGCCCCCATTTGACTTTATTAATCTGGAGAGTTATTGCAAAATCATTCCTCAAAATTTAGAAATCTAACCCAGAAAGCTGCGTTTGATCTGTGTGATCAATTTCTCTGACAATACAAAATAAGTTTGGGTAGCAGGAGGCATTTTTTTAATTATTTTTAAGATCCTGTGGTGTGGTAGAAAAAAAAATAAGAACTTTGTGCACAAATACCCGATTAAAAGTAACCTATATTTCACAGAAAACATGCCACAAAATGTAACATTAGTATTGGTATTTATTTAGGAAATTGTCTGCCCTATTAATTTCTATGCTCATGAGCAGCTACAGGGGATACTAACAGCTAACAGTATTAAAGTCAGTAACAGCTATTGCTATTATCTTACAATAAATCCATTTGTTCAGAGAAATTCCCTTTGCTTCCCCTCCAAGATCTATCAAACTAAACCAAAATACCTTCCTCTGAACTGATGTTCAAGCTCCTTTAGTGCACAGTAACTCATTTAACAAAATTAGAAACCAGTCAACACAAACCATTGATTTTGAACCTTGTTTATTGGAAATGAAGTGATTTTTACACAGGCTGGTTTTTCATGTCCTGAGGAACTGAAAAAAAAATACATGTAAAGTGGTTAAAAGGTAATTTCACATGATGTCATTTGTCAGATTTAGACCATGATTCATAGTTTGATGTAAAATAAATCCTGTGTACTCACACTGACAGGCGTAAGCCACCTCCAGGTACTTAAAAGTTCCCCCACAGGGGTCTCCAAACACAGAGTTTGAGGCATTGATAACACAACTGTTTTTCCCCTGGCAGCTGTGGAGAAACCAGTGAAGACAGAAATTATGATACTGTATTAGAAAAAAAACTCATTTGAAAATATGATTATATAATAATCATATTACAGTGTCACTAAAGTTAACCAGTGGCTGTCTGAAAACTTGCTTCTCTTAAACCTTCGCAAGACAGAGACCTTGATCCTGGCCCCTGATAATATAATCCAAGACAAAAGAACATCTCGGCTCCTTGAGTTCAACTGTCCAGCAGAATGTGCGCAACCTGGGAGTAAATCTTGACTCAGATCTGTCTCTAGACAGAATCTGGTTTCCACATGCTACTTTCAACATCGGAATCTCTAAACTCCGACCACTGCTGTCCACTTCAGATTTGGAAATGGGAATTCATGCCTTCATTTCTAGCCGCTTAGACTATTGTAATACCTTGTTCACCTGCCTAAACCAGAAAACAGTTAATAGTCTTCAGCTTGTCCAAAACTCGGCAGCAAAACTCCTAAACTCGAACCTCCAAATTCACCCTCATCTCCCCGATCCTAGCAGAACTTCACTGGCTTCCAGTTCATTTCAGAATCTGGTTCAAAATCCTGGTCCTCACCTTCAGAGCTCTTCATGGCCAAGCCCCAAAATACATTAAAAAGACTCATCTCCCCTTACAACCCCCAGATGGGACCTCTGCTCACAAGATCAAAATCTCCTTATTGTTCCACTCACTCTTTAAGACACGTGGTAACCGTGCCTTCTCATCTGTGGCCCCCAGGATCTGGAACAAACTCCTTTTTAATCTGCGCTCCTAAGATAACATTGTCTCTTTCAAGAAACTCCTAAAAACAGTTTTTTACTCAAGCATTTACAGGTGCTGGTCATAAAATTAGAATATCATGAAAAAGTAGATTCATTTCAGTAATTCCATTTAAAAAGTGAAAC